TGAAGCCCTTTATTCTAAAAAGCGAGCCCACTTTGCTAAGTTCCCAAATGGCTTCCTTATGTTGGACCATTTATAACATTATATATTTTTGGTGAATTTAGCTAAGTCAAATCTAGGTGTTAATGAGACTTCGAAGCTAATGTTTATAAAATACAGATCTTTGATCTCAGGTTTATGTCATTTCTTATGACCCTAAAATCTTGATATTAAGATTGTTTCCTGTTTTTGAATTAAGTGATCAACAACTGTATTGGGTACTTATTGTGTGCTCACCCAGGATGGGGACACCATGGAGGATATATAAGTGAGAGCTTTTCTTTAGTTTTAAGCTGGACCCACTGTTGCCAAAAATAAAGAACACATTCCCCAGCTCCCTTGTTGCTAGGTACAGCCTTGCACTTCTGGCCTTGAAAAAATAAACTATGAGAATGGAGCTGACTCAACTGGGAAGGGCCCTTTTTTGCCCTTTTGTTCCTTTTTGTTTTCGGAAAGATTGAAAAGCAGATATGAAGGCAGGAGCTTCAGAGGCCATCTTGGACAGTAAGGTGACCCTGAGTGTAGAAGACACATGCAGAGGACAGTGGAACAGAGGGACAGAGAGAGCATCCTGGGCTGCCATGCTAATCCTAGACTGCCTATCTCCAATGTCCCTTATCTGAGAAAGAAAGAAATGCTTACCTTGTTTAAGCCACTTTTACTTTAGGTTTTCTGTTACTTGTAGCCAAATTCATTACAATTTGTAGCAGATAGTGTTAGGGTCCTGTACCCTGTTTGGGCCACTTTTACCTGTAAGTGACAGTTCTTCTGTATTAAAAGATTGCCTATAGTGTGCCGTCTTGGGGAACTGGCCTTCGGCTTCGGCTTCAATGGGGTTGCTCAGGAAGACTAAGGAGAGCCCCCTTGGGCCATTTTCCTTCATTTTCTCTCACTTTTGACTGGTAAAATCTTAGTTACCTTCTTCCAGGCTTCCTCAACTCCCCCCACCTCCCTCCAATTATAATTTCCTCTGGTCTCTCTCAGCTGGGAGCTAAACAGCTAGAGGGAGAAGTTGGAACTAGGAGGATGAAAGCAAATGGAGGAAGGGAATTGGTACCTGACAACTGAGCTGGATCCAGCCTTGTAGTAAATGGTTCACTTCACTCTTATCGACTAAAACCAGGACCAGGTTTGCTATTGAGAGAAAAAAAATAGTGCTCGTACTTGGGTCAGAATTTTTTTTCTTTACCTCCTTTTCTGGTCTTTCATTGACTCCTTTGGGAATGAGTCACCTTAGCCAAGAATCCCCGAGAATCTTAGGGATGGATTCTCATTTCCAATTATAGATAGGCTGTTTCTATGTTGTGTGAGTGTTCTTTTTTCCAGGAGGGCAATAAATCCCTTTACAAGAAAAAAAAATGTATTCCAGTACAGTTCATACCTACTCCCCAACTGATTCTACAAAGCTTGGGAAAGGCCTAAAGAGAGGAATAGGGAACTGTGAAGAAGAAAACAAAAACACAGTTAAACAGTGAAAGCAGTCTCAGTGGACATAAGAAATCTTTCACTGTGTGTACCATCTCCTCTAGAGACCTTTGCTCCTAACTTCAAGAGAGGCTCCAGCTGCTAATTTCAGTTTTGAAAGTTTTAGGAACAAGAAGAAGCAGAATTTTAAGTTTTGATATTGAAGTAAAGTAGCAAAAAGAAGGGGAATGGCCAAGACTTTTAGCCCATGTGAGATGTCACCAGTAGAAACTTGAGATCATCACCAGCCTACTCAGGAGTTCCTCGCCTTTCAGATCTCTCACATTCTACAATACTTTAAGATTTTTGCGCAATTAGCTTCTCGGCTCCTGTATCTACGTTACCCCCATTCTCATGCTCACAATCTTGTCTCTATGGCTGGAATAGCCTTTTGCCGAAGCACTTCCTCCTGTTGTTCAAAACATTCCACACTCCAAACTCCAGGACCTCTTTTCTCGGTGGACCCTCTCCACACCTCACTCAGAACACTTACCATTGTTATCTGGAAAGGATCTATTCGTGTAAGTTTTCTTATTTAACTATGTACCTTGAGTGCCTAGCCATTTGACTAGCACAGAGTTGTTTCTCAGTGAATATTTTTTTGACTTTGGGCAGGACGTGATAATCAATCACAGTATCTGCCAAAAGCTAAGTGACCAATTCATCGCTTGAAATATACTAGTTAAAAAAATTATCACTGAACTAAAAAAAATGAAAGAAAGATTGTGCCAGAAAAAGAGAGAAAACTACCCAAGACTGGAAGATATAAATTTGAACACAGCTGTGAGCTGTGAATGGGAAATAGATAAGTAAAACTTGATATTATGAAAGGTTTTTTACAATGGAGGGTCAGAAGATTAAATCATACTGATATGTGCTAATATAAAGCATTGCACTTTATGCTAATGCAAAAAGATGGTACAGTGGAGTAGTTTAGAGCACGTCTAGGAGTCACATTTCCAAGTTCATATTCTAGCTCTGCCACTTCCAAGCCGTGTGAATTTAGGCAGGTTATTTAATTTCTCTGTTTCTGTAGCTTCATCATTTGTAAAATATAGACGCTACTAATACTTTCTTCATGGAACTGTTATGAGAATTAAAGGAGTAAGTATAAATAAAGCACTTAGAAAAGGGGCTGGTATATAGGAATGCCAATATGTCTTATTTATTACTTTTATTGTTGTAATTTCCCTTCTTAAAGTAGGATCCTTGGCCACAAAAAGAAGGACAAGTGAAGGTTGCAGGTCTAGCACATTTATACAAGTAAATGCTAAGGGCAATGTGAGGCTGTAGGGTGGGTCACTCACTACTTTAGAAGAGACTCTTAAAATTATACTTTTATAAACTCTTTGCTCTGAGCATAAGCCCACAAGAGAAGAAGATACATAGATTCTGTTGGCCCTACCCCTTACTGATCCCTCTATGTCATGTCCAGGCCAAATTTTGTGATTTACCATTAAATAGAAATTACTAGTTAAGTGCAATAAAGATTCTTTTGAAATACATTTTGGAAATTATATAGAAGTTGTTTTAAGAACAATTAGAATTTATTTATTGCTTGCTTTTAAGCTTATATGCTCACTGGAGTTCTCAATTAAGCAAAGTTTAGGAATAGGAAGTTTCCAAATCTTGGTCTAAGGCCTTTTGTGGAAGCACCTTCATAATCCTTATTTGAATTTATATCAGTAAGCATCTATATATTCTGTGACTCTGATTCTGAGATATCTGACCCTTTAAACTTCTAGGAACATTAAAAGTATGACAAATTTTCTAGGCTTTTAGTACTTACAGATCTTTCTTTTCTTCTTCCTTTGGATAAGATTAATAATAGAATATTGCAATCTTTAGTTCACCTTGGTCTTTTTCACTGTGAAAACTCCTTTCATGGTAATCAATTCAACAAGTATTTAATAATCATCTATTTTGTGAAGGGATGTAAGGTTCATAAAGGCAGTTTTCATATTTGTCATTATTATCATTATTATCTCAGTGTCAAGTATGGTACATTTCACACAATGGGCATTCTGAAAGTATCTGGTAAAGGGATATGAATAAAGGTTTCATACTAAAGCAGTAGAGCATTATAGAGCCAGCATAAGTTTTAGATTTGGATTCAAATCCTAGTTTTTCCAATTTTATCTGTGTGATCTACAGCAAGTTGCTTAATCAACCATATGTTTTGGTAAATGGAGGTAATGTCTATTTTATAAGGATTATAAGAATGTATCAATATATAATGAAAACTCCCATTGTGTGTATATATAGTATTTCCTAGGTGCTGTGTTTCAAAATACCCAGCTTCAAAAATCGAATGGATTACAATTCTTGTTCTTAATAACTTTCCACATAAGACAATAAGACAAGTCACAAAATGTTATGGGTGTTCAAAGTAGGGAAAGATGGAGTGTGCTTGAGGAAATCAGGAAAGGAAGTGGCATGTGAAATGGTCCTTGAAGGATAGTTAAGATTTCAACAATTAAAATGCATAGACATACCCATATTACACATAGAATCATATGCAGGGAGAAAAAAAGGTTCTGAGTGTGACTGAATAAAAGGTACTGAGTGTGATTCTTCTCGCAGGAAGGCAGGGTTGACACAGGGAAACAGTGAGAGATACGCAAGAAATGTGGGTGGGGCCATACTGGTGGTGCCAGTTACTTCAACCTAGCAGACAATGGGTAACTCTTGATGGTTTGGAGGCAGGCCTGTGGGATACTGTAATAGGATTGGAAGGTGGAAGCGCCAGGAGTGGAGAGACCAGTTAGGAGAGGCTATTGCATTATTTCAGGTAAGAGATAATAAAGGCCTGCATCAGAGGGAGGGCAGAGGGAATGCAAAGATGCGGGAGAGGCACATTTCATAGATAACTGACAGTACGTGACAACTGCCTCACACTGGCAGTGGACGTGGTGGGGTAGGGAGAGAAACCAAGAGACTAGTCAATGACCGGGCAGACAAGGTCTTTACACGAATGGTTAAGTCCCAGCATAATGTTGGTTTAGGTTTTGGATATTGGTCCATTTGAGGTTTGGGTTGCACCTCGCTGCCATCTTCCCCTTTTTATATCCCTTTTTTCAGGGCCACCTCCACTTCCTTCCATCTCTCTCTTCTAAGTCATGCAGCTTTCTACCGTCAGCCTGACCTGCGTTTATCTTCACACTTCGCTATTTCTTCTCACAGTACTCTCATTGCCAGGATGACACAGTTCAGGTCCTGGGCTATAGAATACTCCATCTGAATTACTCCACCCATCTTCGCCCGGGCAGCTTCGAGGCTTGCGCCTCTCAGCTCTTTGACCAATAGGCAGGCCCTAGGGCTAGTACTCGACTCGCTATTGGTTGGCCGAGCCGTGGTGAGAGATGGTGCGGTGCCGGATCTCTGCGAGGGTGAGAGCTTTGAGAGGTTGTTAAGGCGACCGTTCGTGACGCAGAGCCACCAGGCCGAGTAGCCTCCAGATGATTGGCTATATGATCGGACGATCTTTTCTCATTGGTCTCAGGCTCGGCTGGCTCCAAGAGTGCGTCAGCTGAAGGTTCCTTCCGCTCGGCGTCTCTGTTGACTGGAGACGGGAGGAGCGCCGGCGGTGCCGGTGTTCGGTGACCTCTAGTGAGATCAGGAGGTGAGGCGGACAGTGGCCGCGAAGGGGAATCGGTCGGCGGGAGCCGGGCAGCGGTGGGTGGCAGCGGGATTTGGGCCGTGTTGGCGGCGGTTCTCAATCTCCACTAGGCCTTGGGAAGGGGCAGCAGGCACCCCCTGCGGACCTGGCGGGAGCTGCGGTGGTGGATTTCCGGGTATGGCAGCCCTGTCCCGCAGGGACTTCGGTTTGACGACCCTGATGCGCGGCTGGCGGAGAGGTGGCCGACACCAATGCGCGGGGAGCCTAGGAGCTAGGTTGGGCCTGAGCGGTGGGCGGCGGAGTGGAGCAGCCTTTGCCGTCCCTGTTCGATTTAAACAGTGCTGGCTGCGCGGTCACTATCATCTGGGCGGAAAGGGTCCCAGGAGGGTGATTTTGGAGGACCCTTGTTTCGAGAAGTACTGGGCGGCTGGAGGATGACCCGGCCGCAGCTCGCCGAGAGCACGCGAGGTCTTTTCTGTGCAGTCTTCCACGCCCAGGCGGTGCTGTTCGTCAGCACCTTTCTTTGAAGTGATGTGGAAGAGGTCTATAAATGATGTAACTAACTCACTCAGAGCCGTGAGAAAACCGTGGATCTGCATAGCTGTGTCCGGTGATGGCTAGGATAAACGGGTTGAAAGGATGAGGAACCCAATGTAGGGAGTCGCCCAGGAACTTAAAGGATTCTTCTTTTTCTTTTCTTTCTTTCTTTTTTTGTAAGGGGTGTAGTTTCTTTGGTGTTGATGTCCTTTAGTCCAGAACTTCAGGTTTTTCGGAATTACTTGGTTTTAGTTAGGAAAAACCTACCTTGGAGATTCAAATACCGGATAGTTTCTGCGGTAGGAGAAAGTTGATGTGTACTCCATCTTAAGCGGTCTGTTGAAATGTTTCAGGGCTTGAGGACGTGACTTCTTAGACTTGATGCCGGAAAAGTTATAGGAAACATTTGTTTCCGGGCCATGCTAAATAATGTCAGCATCTCACAATGTAGAGAATGTATTTTTTGTTTGCTTGTGAATTTATTTTTTTCCTCCAAAGAAAGACATTTTATAATTTAGAGGTGATCTAGCAAAGGCCTAGTGTACATTGGAGTGCAGGTAGATTGGATTTTAAGGACCCGCTTTGTTGTAGTGTCTTTCCAGAATTTATGATAAACTTGCTAGTAAGGACAAATGGGGATTAGGAATATGAAGGTTTAAAAAAATTGTTCGAAGGTTACATCATTACATCCAACTGATGTGTGGCATGATTATTTCAAGATAAAGTTTGTGTGGGGATGGCTGTGTTTGCGCTTTTTAATCTTGTATGATGTAGTTTATAGACCATGGATAATCCATCTTCAGGGTGAGGCAAAAGCAGGTTTACAGTTCTTTTGGAAAATAATACAATGATAAACAGTAATACAACAATAAACTCTTGCATACTCACAACTGTAAATCTACTTTTGCCACATCCTGTATATGGATGTCCTTTTACCCATATGAAATGGATGATATTTGAAATTTGACTGTTTCTTACCTACAAAAATAGCAGTTTCATATAGTTCCACTTAACACTTTGTCAAAACTTTGGAGCTCTAGCTTTATAAGTGAATGAAGAAGAGATGTGACTTACAAGCAGGTAGCATGTAATAGAATTGGATAATCCAGGTTTCCTGATTTTCAGTGCAAGAAATTATCTTTTCCCCAGGATGGTAGGTTGAACAACAGATGTTAAACTCTGTTGGAATTAAAAATGGCTCAGCATAAGGCAAGGTGCTTACCTTCAATTAATATAATATACACAGCAATTGATTTGAGAGCATTGTAAACAAGTGTTTAATCAAATACTGGAATGTGTAGCACAGGAGGGGTGCTGAGTCAAAGGAAAGAATTAGGGTAGGATGTGAAAGCATCCTTTTCTGCAATCGGCCATGGTAGGTGGTTTCTATAGCATACTAGATTAGAGTTTGAGGATTCCATTGTATTTAAATTATCCATTTTTTTGAAAAGTGTTGTGAAATGTTTTTATCATACTTCATTCTGAATACGCAAGGCATGCATTGCCTGTTTAACCTGATTTTTAAAGTAAATTTTATTTTTATTGCAGCATGGCATAAATAACTGCCCGATTGAATTTGCATGAGCCCTCCTGTAGCCTGCCAGTGCCACTTGCAACTGCTGATGAAGGTGGAGGATTTGAGTCCATGGCATTTAAATGCTTTACAGCATAATCACAGTGAAATGGGGAGAGTGCTTGCTCATGAGAAATGAGTTTACAGTTATGATTATTTTGATGCACCTTTGTACATTCCATTACTTAGTTTCTGTTTCCAAATAAGTCAGATTCTCTGTGCCTTGGGTATAGTTCACAGGATCTCAGGAACACAGAATTGAAAGTGCTACTGTGAAATCTTTTTGAGGGAAAATATATAATTAATTTATAAGTGCCTAATATAATTATAGGTTAATAATGCTAAACTGATACGTGATCAAATTGGGGTACCTTCATGCTAGCAGGTCAGATTTTAATTCAACTGAATTAATTTTTTAATAGTGAAGGATATGTTGACTCAATAGGGATTAACCTAATTGAGGGGTTTTAGGAGAGGAAGTGTTAGAACTCATTTTAACCTAGTTTTGAAATGTGTTTTTAACTCATTTTCTGAAACATTGACTTAATTTGATTCTTTAGACAGTTTCGTTTTTGTTTTGTCATTTTTTTTAATATAAGAAAGAAATTATGTGACAGAAGACCATCACAAAAAGCTAGTCTTCTGTGAGGCTTTTGGTTGTAATGAGGTAGGGTTCAAGTCTAAGGTGTGATTAATACTCTCCAATACTTTAAGGCCAAGTCCCTGCTAATTTAATAGAAAGTGTTGTTGTTACTGCTTATTTTCCAGAATACTACTGATATATAAAATGTTTCCTCTCTTCCCTACCTCGTCTCCCTTTAATATATTCCCTGAATGCTGTGCATTCAGCCTTTAATTAGGGAACAAGAAGGGGGTTAGGGTTATCTTTATATTTTGGTGACTTAAAAAAAAAAAAGTAATCTTGTCCTGGCTGGGTGGCCCAGCTGGTTGGAGCATTGTCCCATACACCAAAAGGTTTTGAATTTGATCCCCTGTCAGAGCACATACCTAGGGTGCAGGTTCGATCTCCCATCAGGGTGTATACAGGAGGCAACTGATCAGTGTTTCTCTCTCACATTGATCTCTTCCTGCCCCCCTTTTCTATATAAAATCAATAAACATATTCTAGGGTGAGGATTTTTTAAAAAGAAATCTTCAGGTCTGTTTCAGGGTGTGTCAATAAAACACATGCTACTGTTTAAGAATATATTTTTAATTAAGCAGGTATTTGTTGAGCAACTGCTATGTATTAGTGCAAGTGCTGAGGATAAAAGCGTAAGACTCGGGGCAGGGGGAAGGTTGAAAAAGCATGAATAAACACAGGCAGATGCATGGCACATTTATATACTTTAGTGACCACCAGACGTTTAATATTGAGGCCCATAGTGTGAAATCTATGTGTGTGGGGGGTGTGTACATGTTACATACACACACTCACGTATGTAGAGTTTCATGAAACAAAGTTTCAAGAAGTAATTTCTTACCACAGGTGTTTTTCTATTTTATTTTATTTAAAAAAAGTTTTTTTTCCTGACTCAAAATTGATTTCATAATCTAATTGACCCAGCGGCCTGAACTTTGAAAACCAGATACCTGGCTGGTGGCCTGGTATGGTTGAAATATAAAGAACATAGAGGAATGCAGTGAGAGGTGACTGCTTTGGTTTCTTTAGATAGATTTGGTCCCTTTAGATTGATTAATGCTTTCTTCACCTCATTTTGTTCCCTTTTTACTTTCTGTCTTCAATGAATGAATCACCTTCTTAGTTATTGTCATAAATGTGAGATTCATTTGAATTCTTGTTAGTGTGCTAGTGTGTCAATCAACTTACTTTTTACATCTTATTTTTAATTGATTTTTATGGGTAGTTTATATGCTTTATCATAAGCATTAATTTTAGAGTAAGAAGTAAGAATTGCAAGTTCTTATGTTAGGGATCAATGACTGTATTCGATTTTTTAAAAACCAGAATATCAAAATTATTATTACTACTTAGCCAGCAAATGTGGGGAACTTTAGTCACAGTAGTCTAGATCAAAGTTACTTTATGTTCAGTAGGGAATTTTTGGATGCTGTAGACACCTCCTTGGGTCAGCCATCTTCTTTTAGTAATGCTGTAGTGTTTTGATGAGCAGTAAAACTGTGGGAAAAGGCTTTTCTCTGGTGACTGCAACATTAAGAAAGTTTATTAAACATCATTTGGCTGGTGACATTACGCCATATGTTGGGTGGAATGTTAAAGTGTCATGGGTCCCTCCCTTGAGGAGCTTTATAAACTAAGATAATTTATAGGTGTCAAAGAGTAGGTTCTTTGGCATTTACGTTTTGCATAGCCAGAATGTGGAGAATGAACAGGGTGCTTGTATACATTTTACATCAGGGTAATTAGAAAAGAAATATGAAGAGTTGTTTCTGACTTTTGTTTTCTACTTTATTGCTTTCTTCCTTGGCTCAGATAATATCAAGGGCTGAGATATTTATTTGGTTTGACTTTAAATGCCTGAATTCATACAATTTATAAGAAATACCTGCTTTTAAGTTGGTTGCTAATGAATAATAGAGGATGTAAGTGTTGTGAGTAAACAATTATAAGGAGCACTATCAAATAGCCTTATTCATATGTACAAGACACTGTGCATACTATAGCAGGGTTTACAACATTTTTCCTAAAAATACAGTGAGCTGTATACTAATTGCTCACACTTGGTATTCCTTCCAGGATTCAAGGATTCTGTAGTTAACAATGTTGTCAAGACTTTTCCGAATGCATGGCCTCTTTGTGGCCTCCCACCCCTGGGAAGTCATAGTGGGGACGGTGACACTGACCATCTGTATGATGTCCATGAACATGTTTACCGGCAACAATAAGATCTGTGGTTGGAATTATGAGTGTCCAAAGTTTGAAGAGGTTTGTGAAATTAATTTAATATTAGCTCAAGAAAATTAAATTTTCAATTTCTAAAGAGTATCTTTTAGAGACCATATTACCAAAAAAGCTATGACTAAAATATTTTAGTATTTATAAATTTACTTCAAATTTTCATGTATTTATATAGTATGGAAATGCACTAGAAACACTTCTTTTGCCTTTTTCTACTGAAACGAGTGTAATTGACTTGAGAAATATAGTTTTTATAATTAACAGGGAAAGTGATTGGCTTTAAGCAATGGATTGTATAAAAATTGGATTTAATTTTTGATTTGCATATTTAATATTTTTACTTGACTTATATTATGCCTACAATATGCCTATAATATTATCATAGTATATAAACTAAGGATGCATACAAAATAAAAATTTTTATTTTTGATTGCTTATTTTAAAAGCTATAACTATTATGATTTTTTTCCTGTCTCTCCCTATAGGATGTTCTGAGCAGTGACATTATAATTCTGACAATAACGCGATGCATAGCAATCCTGTATATTTACTTCCAGTTCCAGAATTTGCGTCAGCTTGGATCAAAATATATTTTGGGTAATCCTTTTATATATTTAACTTCTTTTTTAAAAGATATTTATTTTTAGAGCGAGGGGAAGGGAGGGAGAAAGCGGAGAGAAACATCAATCGATTGCCTCTCACACACTGCAACCGGATTGGGCTCATAACTCAGGCATGTGCCCTGGACAGGAATTGAACTGGCGACCTTGAGTTTGTGGGAAGACACCCAGTCCACTAGCCACACCTGTTAGGATTATACATTTGACTTTTGTGTGCCATCAGATTTTTTTATTTGCTGTGGCCGTACACCTGTCTATTCAAATCACATGTCTGGAAATGTGTGTATTGCTTACAGTGTGCTGCATGCATTCAGTAGTTTACTTTGTCATTAGTGGGAGTGAAACATTCTGATATTTGAGACCTTAAGAATCTGGAGAAAATAATATTTCAGAATATTGATAGGACTATATGTTGGTACTTGTGTAATAAAGGATGAAAATTTTCAGTTTGTTGAATTTTGTTGTTTTAGGTATTGCTGGCCTCTTCACAATTTTCTCAAGTTTTGTATTTAGTACAGTTGTCATTCATTTCCTAGATAAAGAATTGACAGGCTTGAAGTAAGTATTGAAAGCAGAGGTATACTTTTTTCAAAATATTTTTATATATTATACATTTATATGTATTTTTTCAATATTAAGAACTTACAAAGTTGTAATATATAAATTTTCAGAAGTTTTAGAAAATATGAGGGAAGTTTTTATGTAATCATTTAGCTATTTTTAAAAACTGTTAACATTTTGGTATATATCCTTTGCCATTTTTTTTAATACTTCAAGAAAACTTCTGAGATCATACTATATATACTGCTTTATAACTTCTTTTCACCAAATAATGGTTTATCAACATCTTTGCATGTCAGTAATGCTAAACTAAGTTATTTGTTGTGGCTGCCTAGTATTAATAGCTATGTATGTATATATTGTGATTTATTTATTTAATCATGTAAAATTGGATTGTTAGGTTATTTAATTTCCTCCATTTATAACGAGTGTTTTTGCAGATAAATTTTTGTTCATATTCATAGTTGTTTTCTTAAGATACATTTTTAGGAATGAGACAGTGGTTGTGTACAGTAAGTAGGATTTTCGAGTGCCATTTTTGCCAGTTTACTCTGCAGTAAGGTTGTTTACTTTATCCTCTCAGAAGTAATGATGAATAAGAGAAAATTATGCATATTCTACTTTTTTCCTCATGCTAATTCAAGGAGACATTATTTACTAAGTGATATTTTGGTATAAAATTATCAAAAAGTGTTTCTGTATAAATATATTTACATTTTTAACAAATGTTTTGAACAACTAAAACGTTAATACCTTTGAGGATGTCAGGAATATAGGGTGTAGACCTTTTGATCTACAAAAAGGCACACACACTAGAGAATCATACAAAGTAAGCAGGGGAAAATTTTGTTTTAGAAAGAATTTTAAAGCCATATGTTTTCCTCTGTTAAATGTACCTCATCGTCTTGGTTTTTTTTTTTTCAGTGAAGCTTTGCCTTTTTTCCTTCTTCTGATTGACCTTTCCAGAGCAAGTGCACTAGCAAAGTTTGCCCTCAGCTCCAACTCACAGGTAAGTATTATTTATAAGACATATATATTAATAGCACTCTTTTTTGTTCAATTTGTTTACATTAATAAGAAGGCTATAATAGAGTTTCTTTGTGGTCCAAGATTTAGGAATCACCTATAATTGTAAATTTATTTTACTTTATTTTTAAAATTATATTTTACTGATTACGCTATTACAGTTGTCCTAATTTTTCCCCCTTTGCCCCCCTCCACCCATCACCTCACACTCCCTCAGGCAATCCCTTCACCTTTGTTCATGTCCACGGGTCATGTGTGTAAGTTCTTTGGCTACTCCATTTCCTGTACTGTCCTTTACATCCCCACGGCTATTCTGTAACTACCTGTTTGTACTTCTTAATCCCCTCACCTCTTCACCCATTTCCCCACAGATGGTTGCCTTCCATCTGGCAACCATCAAAACACTCATTATATCCATAATTCTGCCTCTGTTCTTGTTTGTTTAGTTTGCTTTTTATATTCAATTTTGATAAATATGTATTTTTTGTCATTTTCTTGTTCATAGTTTTAATCTTTTTTGTAAATAAGTCTCTTTACCACTTCATATAATAATAGTTTTGTGATGGTGACCTCCTTTAGTTTCTTCTTGTCTGGGAAGCTCTTTATCTGCCCTTTGATTCCAAATGATAGCTTTGCTGGGTAGAGCAGTCTTGGCTATAGGTCCCTGCTTTTGATGACTTGGAATATTTCTTGCTCATCCTTTCTAGTCTGCATAGTTTCTTTTGAGAAATCAGCTGACAGTCTTGTGGGAACTCCTCTGTAGATAACTAACTACTTGGCTCTTGTTGCTTTTAAGATTCTCTCTTTATCTTTAACCTTTGGCATGTTAATTATGATGTGTCTTGAAGTGGGCCTGTTTGCATCCATCTTGTTGGCAGTCTCTCTGTTTCCTGGACTTATGTGTCTATTTCCTTCACCAAATTAGGGAAGATTTCTTTCATTATTTTTTCCAAATAGATTTCCAGTTTCTTGCTCTTTCTCTTCTCCTTCTGGCATCTCGATAATGTGAATGTTGGATCTCTTGAAGTTGTTCCAGAAGCTGCTTATACTTTCCTAATTTTTTTGTAACTTCTTTTTTCTTCTGGTTTTTCTGATTGGTTGTTTTTTATTTCTTTATGTTCCCAGCCATTGATTTGATTCTCAGCTTCATCCACTCTGCTATTTCCCTAAAATTTGTTATTTCAATTACTGTATCTATCATTTTCGACTGAATCTTTTCTATGCTGTTGAGGTCCTCACTCAGTTCCTTGAGCATTATTATAACCAGTGCTTTGAACTCTGTATCTGATAGATTGCTTATCTCCATTTCGTTTAGTTCTTTTTTCTGGAGTTTTGATCTGTCCTTTACTTTGAGCCGTGTCTCTTTGTCTGCCTTCTTGTTTGTTTCTATGTATTAGGTAGAGCTGCTTTGACTCCGTGTCTTGGTAGTGTGGCCAAATATAGTAGGTGTCCTGTAGGGCCCAGTGGCATAGCCTCCCTCATCACCCTAGGTGGGTAATCAAGGTGTGCCTTTTGTGTGGGCTGAGTACACCCTCCTCTTGTAGTTGAGCCTTGGTTGCTGTTGGCAGATCAGTGGGAGAGATTTACCCAGGCTGGTCAGCTCTAAGGATTGGCTGTAACCAACTGATCAACAACCTCTGTCCTCTGTGGAGGATCAGGTGTGTAGGGGCAGGGTGGTGGTACTCCGACATGGTCTGTAGCTGTCTGCTGGGTGCACTGGCCCTGGGGTTTCCTGGGTGATGCAGGCCAAGGGAAGCCCCAACCTGTGTGCTGCCCAGGGCCACCCTGCCTGAGCTATAAAGCAATCTGAGATGGCTGCCACTTGTGCTAGGCTTGAAGACTCCCAGGCAAAGCCAAGCTGTGAATCTAGGCTGGCTGCTGCTAGTGCCAGGCCTGGGGCTCACTGAGGCCAGCTATAGCCCATTTGATAAGATCTAGGAAGTTATGCAGCATGAGCCAAGACCAGCCATTCATATGGAAAAGCAGCTTGGGTGGGTCTGTTAGTTGGGTGGGGTGGAGTCTCTGCTGATCTCCAAAGCTGGTCAAAGGGTGTTAGTCAGGTTGATAGAGTTTCAGATATGGCATTAGCTTGCCAGCTGTTTCAGGGGAGGGTCCAGAGAAAGGACAGTGTCCTTTGTATACCTTGATGCCAGACACTTCAATTCCTCCCTGTATGCCACTGGTGCCTTCCAAGCTGCTAGCCCAGTGCTGGAGCTTAGAGGGAGTGAGTCTGAACAGGTGAATCTATGTGTGGATTCTGTAAGAGGAACTGCTTGGGGTCCCAGCAGTTTCTTCCACGGACTCAATCCCCATTGGTTTTTGCAGCCAATGGGGACTTACCTTCCTGGCACTGGAATCCTGGGCTGGGGGGCCTGGTGTGGGGCTGGAACTCCTTGCTCCTGAGATATTCCTTTCCAATTTTTATTCGCCATATGTGGGTGTGGGACCATCCCATTTTACCTGTGTGTCCCCACTGTGGTCTGGATGGATGTGGTTTCTTTAATTCCGTAGTCATCAGACTTTTATTCAGACTCAATTTGTGATGGTTATTTTAAATTTTATTTGTAATTTTGATGTAGTTGTCTGAAGAGGTAGCCATGTCTGCCTACACCGCCATCTTGACCAGAAGTCTTTCTATAATTGTGAATTTAATTATAAAGTCCTAAGACTGGCCTTCCTAAGTGTCCTAGAAACTGTCCTATTTATTTGAAAACTCAATTATAATTCCATAGCCTCTGGAATTTGTAATCTTTTCCATTTACTTTTTTGAAGGTTTCAGAAATAAAGGTTATATTTTGGACTTTTGGATAAATATGAGTATCTACCTAGTGAAACACAGGATATGATCTAATAAAAAGGTGCCTCAGGATAGATTTATTTCTAAGCCCTTTGAAAACACTAGTATTATTTCCCACCAAAACACTAGTATTATTTCCCACCTAAAGTTTTATCTTGGTGTTCTTTAGTCTCTTTAAAGAATCTAACATTTTGAACAATATTCCATGAGAGTATCTGAGTATAAAATAGCATGTACTTCTGCCTTGATTATGTATCTGATGAATAGTTATGACCATTTGAGAAAGGATATGATTTGAGAAGGATATGATTTAGGTTCATAATAGTAACATGGTCTCAAAATTTTTGCAACTAAGAACTTTTGTCAATGGTAGCAAAAATATAAAATACTGTAAAATTTAATTATGTGAGGTTTAAATGGCAGAATTAATGCACCACCTCAAAGGAATCTTTCCAAGAAATATCTTGCTGGGTATAAAGGAAAAACAGAGTACCGTATATGTTTTTCTTTTAAGTCCATTATTTTGTTAGTGTACTTTGCATTTAGAATGCCTGTTAGTCTTGTCATAATGTATATTTTATTCTTTGCATAGTAAGTTAGATTGCTAACATGCTCTTTAACATTTTTTAAAGTTGTTTTTTATCTTACCTTCATTGATATGTTTGGTCTGTGTTTCAGGATGAAGTACGGGAAAATATTGCTCGTGGAATGGCCATTTTAGGCCCTACGTTCACTCTTGATGCTCTCGTAGAATGTCTTGTGATTGGAGTTGGTACCATGTCAGGTTTGTGAGCAATTTGTAGTATATTTTAAAATAAGTTTGTAGTAAAGAGAAAAAAAAAAACATGTTAGATTGCATTGGTTATTCTTAAATCCTGACTCTTAAAATGTTTTGATTGTATGAGTATGTGGTTATATCTGTTTGTTTTAATATAAACTTAGTAGTAGATTACTGATTTATTGTTTCCTCTTGCCATCTTTTACAGTGCACCACTTTCTGATGAGTTTGTCTGTGGTGTTTTTGTTCTTTGGTTTTGAAAGAGTGTACTCCAGGGCTTTTCTGGAAAGCTCCTTCCAGACCCTGCTGCCACCTACACTGTAATAAGTTACTGACTTGGTTGCTCATGTTGCATCACATAGAAGATGGCACGAGAGTTAGGAGTCGGGTAAAACTAACCTAGATCCTCCTAATAGGATGTTTGAGAAGATTTAATTAGATAGTCTGTGGTATATCCTCAGTTCAACAATAGAGAATTAGATGTTAAATATCAAGGGGATTCATTCTTTCAGAAGCAAAATACTTTTAAGACAGTGGTTAGTTGTCTATTAGTTGAGGTCTTTTCACTAGGTAGTGTATCATATTGAGATATATATAACATTAATTAAAACTTTCTGAGGGTCAGTGTTTTAGTAAAGAAGATATTTTTTAACCAATTTTTTAAATGTACATTCTTTAAAATGTCCTTTTGGGTAAAGTTCTATGTTTTGACAAAGATATAGTCATGTAACTACCACGACAATCAAGAAAAATGCTTTGATTAGGTGAAAATGTACCTGTTGGTTTTATTCAAGCAAAGGAATATGTAAGAGGATGAGAGGAAGATCAGCCAGAAACTAGTAGTAGGCCATGAAACCCAGGATTAATCTTTTGAAGCTGATGCGGAAAGTAGGGGGATGGGTTTTGTCGTGGTAGGTCAGAGAAGTGGACAAGTGAAGCCATTAAGACTGTAGTTGGAGAAGCCAGTCAGGAGACATGTATAGCTGTATAGAAAAGGTGTAATTGTTAGGGATTTGGATTAAGGTAAAAAAAAATTTTTTTAAAGGACAGATTTAACACATTTCAACTAGGAAGTAACCCTTTGGGGAACCAATAAAAAAGGAAAAAGCCTTAACTCGGGAAGTATATAGATTAATGCTCCTTGCATGGTAGCGAAGTGGCTCAGAGACGCTGCCTGTAGGGAAGAGTGCACGGAGCACATGGGGCAACAGTAGTCGCTATCGTCCAGGGGAAATGGGAGGTTGCAGGTTGTAAAAAGCACTGGTTAAGTATAGTTTCCATGATCTCAGGGATGAAAAGGTTATATTTGACTGCCATTTAAAATGTAAGCTCTTTCTAATGCTTTTGTTATTGTAATTTTATAGTCTCCCAAATTTCCATGTTTTAGAGGAATTGCTATGGAATTTTAGAAAATACAGTTTATACTCTTATTCTATTAGTCCAATGGTTTATTACAATACAGAAAATAAAATAAAACCAAGTTTTTTTATATTATTCTATTTGGCAGTTTTTATTAAAAAAATCATTTTTGCATTTTAAAATATTTTTATATTTAATATTAGTGACATCAGAAATATGTTTTATATTAAAGTTTATTTGGAAAGTGAAGGAGTAGGATTTGGTTATCTGAAGTCTTTTCCAGCTCTATAATTCTGTTACTTTCTATTTGAGAAGATTACTAAATGATAACCATTTTCTAGTGGGACAGTTGTTATTTTTGTATCTTGAGTTGTCTTTTTGCTTTATGTCATTTTTCAAACAGAGCAATAAATTTCACCAAAAATATAAGGACATCAATAAGGACCATAGAGGTTATGTTTAAATTAGAGTTTAGTAGTAGACATAAAATATTTACTACAACATCATATCAGGAAAGGTATAACTGGCAGTATGTTTTACTTTTATAAAAAGTCCTGTGTCCACAGGTGAATTGCTTTTGTGATAACGAGTGTAATTGGATTAATAGTATAAAACTGTGGAAGGTTTGCTTCATTAGATATCATTATCTCAAAATAGAATTTTAAAATGTCAATTATTAAATATATATTAAATGCTACCATACTGCCTGGCACTGTGATTTTGGTGACACAGGAGATGATCATCTGTGCTCTCAGGCTTGAGATCACCACTGAGTTCCTGATTCTCTTTCCAGGGGATGACAGAGAGAGTGACACACTAATATTCTCATATGTTTTTATACTTGTGGGAAGAGTCTTGTGATATAGATACAGCATCAAAAATACACTTACTTTAATAATTGTATATTTGATTTTTCTCTTACCAGGGGTGCGTCAGCTTGAAATTATGTGCTGCTTTGGCTGCATGTCAGTTCTTGCCAACTACTTCGTGTTCATGACTTTCTTCCCCGCTTGTGTGTCCTTGGTTTTGGAGGTAAGAGCAGTTCTTATGGCAACGTTAATAGAAGATTAATATTTCTCATTATGTAAGTTTACTTAAATAAAAGCAATATCTTCTAATGCAACACTGACTTACTTTGTAGCTTTCTCGGGAGAGCCGCGAGGGTCGTCCAATTTGGCAGCTCAGCCATTTTGCCCGAGTTTTAGAAGAAGAGGAAAATAAACCGAATCCTGTTACTCAGAGGGTTAAGATGATTATGGTAATTACATAGTTTTCTTCTCCCTTCAGTAGCTTCTGTTCCAATATCATATTCCATTTTTCAGTTTTGATTTTTCTTCTTCTTTTGCCATCTTTCTTTAATTTTTGGCTCTTTCACCGATATTTCTCTTCCCCTTTTCTGCTGTTTCTCATTTCTTAGAAGCTCCTGGTCTTTCTTAGTGTCTCTCAGCTAAACAGATTTTACAGGTTCCTCCACTTTCTCTCACCGAAAACTTGTTCTTTGGAATGTGTTCAGTAACCCAGTGAGGCCAGTCCTTAAGTCACACAGCAAGCTTGGGCCTTTTCACGCTAAGGGGAGGCCAAGGAATAGCATCTAGTTATCCGGTTGCTAAGGATGAGAAGTTTAAGTTTCACTGATATGCAGAAAATACATAATCTTTTAAAAATTTTATTTCAGTCCCTAGGCTTGGTTCTTGTTCATGCTCACAGTCGCTGGATAGCTGATCCTTCTCCTCAAAACAGTACAGCAGAAAATTCTAAGGTTCCCTTAGGATTGGATGAAAATGTGTCCAAGAGAATTGAACCAAGTGTTTCCCTCTGGCAATTTTATCTCTCTAAGTAAGTTACCTGAGACCTACTTTGTTGCATATTAATCTTGGTACTACTCTGTGCTACTAAAAGTTTAGGTTGTGCCCTTTGCATTTTCGAGTAATAACATTTTAATTTGCTTTCTTTTATTTAGAATGATCAGCATGGATATTGAACAAGTTATCACCCTAAGTTTAGCTCTCCTTTTGGCTGTCAAGTACATCTTCTTTGAACAAGCAGAGACGGAATCTACACTTTCATTAAAAAACCCTATCACATCTCCTGTAGTGGCCCAAAAGAAAGTCCCAGACGATTGTTGTAGGCGTGACCCTATAGTGGTCAGAAATAACCAGAAATTCCAGGCAGTGGAGGAGGAGGCAAAGGCAAACAGGGAAAGAAAAGGTGATTTCTTGTTCTCTTCATTTTCCTGTCTTACAATGCTAATTTGTTAAGAAGTTGAGTCAGTGTTAAAACTTACGTTCAGAGTTGTGAGATTTTGTTTGATTTTTTGAACAGCTGAGGTTATAAAACCCTTAGTGGTGGAAACTGACGCCTCAAACAGAGCTACATTTGTGGTCGGCGACCCCTCCTCCATTAGTGCTCCACCAGAACCAGAGGCCCAGGAGCCTGAAGTTGAACTTCCCAAGGAGCCTCGGCCTAATGAAGAATGTCTACAGATCCTTGGGAATGCACAGGTGAGGAAAAAGAAATACACTCAGACTTGGTAACTTTCTTAAGAAAAGGAGCTTTTTTAGTGAAGGAAGAAAGGGAGTTATAGTTACTGAGCACCTACTAAGTTCTAGGCACTGTGTTACATGGTTTACAGGTACTGGTCTTATTTATTCCCCACTCCCTTATTGGGTGGAATTACCCCTTTTTGAGATGAGCAAGTTGAGGCGCCAGGTGGTTTAAATATTTCCCAAAGAAATACATCTAGGAAATGGTAAAGCTGGGACCAAGTGGTGTCCAAGATTTACTGGCTCAAGAGTCAGTGCTCTTTCTATTTTATTACTGTTTATCGTGGGGAAGAGCAGCTGCTTTACTCTCGTATTTGTGTTGAGGCCTAGAAAAGGTTTAACATAGAAACGAGCCTCAGAGATACAAGGTTTTATTTTTGTTTTTCTTTAAAGTAAGCTTAATGCTCATGAAGAAGTTTATTTTCCTTTCTGAGATTTGAACAGGATTCCTGCCTATGTGATTGATTGTAAGAGTTCACTCCTGCTTTAGTGTGATGCTGTGTTCTGTCCGTATCTGCTCCATCTGGTTCATTTTTAATTTCTGCACATGGGAGTGAGAATAGAGTTGTGTCTGTTTTCTCTCTCACTCTCCCTCATCCTGTTAACGTGTGCAGCAGTATTTCAGCTGTCCTGCTACGTTCAGGGCTATCAAAACCTATAGGGTGGGTGTCAGAATTTCAATTAGGAGTTTTTTTCCTATGAACCTTACTTTCAAAATTTAGTGTTTTGGTCTTATATTTGTTTAATTGTCACATTTGCATGAAGAATTTGCTTTCATTTTGATATTCTTATTTCTTCTCAAATCATATTCTTTGAATATGATTCCAAAAGTCTTTTAGGTTCTACTGTTGTGTTTAGCTCTGTTGAGAGCGTTATTCATATTAAATGGTTTATTTAATATGAATACTGTGAAGTACAGTTTTTTGGAGTCTTTTGTCTTCTCTCTCCCTCAACTCCCTTCCATTTTTTCCCCATTTCTTTAGAAAGGTGCAAAATTCCTTAGTGATGCTGAGATCATCCAGTTAGTCAATGCTAAGCACATCCCAGCATACAAATTGGAGACTCTGATGGAAAGCCATGAGCGAGGTGTATCTATTCGCCGACAGTTACTTTCCAGAAAACTTCCAGAGCCTTCTTCTCTCCAGTATCTACCTTACAGGGACTATAATTACTCCTTGGTATGTTATTTTACTGATTTTAGAAGGTTTGCTTTGTAACTTACTACTGTTGTAGTTTTAGTCTTTAGCTTCCCCCACTCTCCCCGACTGGTCTTTTACATGAGTACATAGTTTTATAAAATACTTTCCTTTTAAAGTCGTCTCACTGTAATTTTGTATTCTGCTTATGATATAGGTCATAGAAATTCAAAATATTCTTCCTGTTGTTTTAGTCATTACTCAGATATTTAGTATCTTAAATATTTTTAAAGAGTAAATAAAAATTTTGTTGAAAAATACACTAAAGGGTAAAGTTGAAGGAAGTTTTTAGTGGCAAGAACTGTGTTTTTGCAATACAGATTTTCACTCGGTTCCTGACTTTCTCTCTTAGGTGATGGGCGCTTGCTGCGAAAACGTCATTGGGTACATGCCCATCCCTGTTGGAGTGGCGGGGCCTCTGTGCCTGGATGGAAGAGAGTTTCAGGTTCCAATGGCAACAACAGAAGGCTGCCTTGTGGCCAGCACCAACAGAGGCTGCAGAGCGATAGGCGTACGTTGGCATTTTTCATAGTTGCCTGCTTTAGGAAGCACTCTAGGCCAGGCGATGGGAGGAGGCGGGGGACCATCGGGGACACACCTACTGCGATGAGCATAAGTGTTTTCAACATTAATGTGTGCTTCTCTAACATGTTCTGCATAGCTCGGTGGGGGCGCCAGCAGCCGAATCCTTGCCGATGGGATGACGCGTGGCCCGGTGGTGCGTCTCCCCCGTGCTTCTGACTCTGCAGAAGTGAAGGCCTGGCTTGAGACACCTGAAGGGTTCACAGTGATAAAGGAAGCATTCGACAGCACCAGCAGGTGTGTGTGTGGGGGTGTTGTAAGTGCATTTATGTCTATTTCAGGACCAGTGCCATCTTCTTTGATCACTAAATGTAACATATTGCCAGCTTAAAATGACGTAAAATATCAACTTCAAATTGAATTATTCAGAGTTAGTAATGTTAATGCTTGGTTTGGGGTGGGGGAGCAGAATGTTAATCTAAATGAATACCTCCACAGAAGGGAATTAGAAAACTATAGTGTGAGCTAGTAAGTTTGTGTGTGGGTTTTTTACAAGGCTCACTTTGATTAGACTGTTAACTTTGCTCTAAAAACGTTTTAACTTAGATTGTCAAGAGGCAGAATTGCCTGAGAAAAAGATCTTGGAAGCAGGATAGAAGGAGGAGTAAATATTAGTATAGTTGATTTACTTTGAATAAGCAGTACAAATGATAACCCCAGTATAGTTCAAGCATATATGTTTGCCTTTATTTGGCCTTTTAAACTTCATCTGTGATGAAGTGACTGTCTGTAGCCCTCCCTCCTTGCAGCTCTAAGAATGAGAGAGTTGATACAGTATTCTAATATCATGCATAAAGAAGAAAACACATTAATAAAGAATCTCCATGGGATTTCTCTTATGAATAAAATGAACCCACTAAATTAGATTTTAAGATAACATCCATCTTCTTAAAAAAAATCTTTGCTGCTTTTGTCTACAGGTTTGCACGTCTGCAGAAGCTCCATATGAGTATGGCTGGGCGCAACCTGTATATTCGTTTCCAGTCCCGGTCAGGTGATGCCATGGGGATGAACATGATTTCCAAGGTAAGTCAGGATAGGCTCCACCAGAGCTTGCAAGAGTGTCCCAGGAAAGGGAACCTCAGTGTCAGGGAGACAGAAGTCAGGTGCAGACTTGCTGTCCACTTAGTACCCTCCTGTACTTTTCATATTATACCACATGCATCTGTTTACTCAAAGAGTTCATTGATTGAAAGGTTTTTCATATAACTCATTATATAAATCAGGCATTTGTTGATTGGTGGTGTTTGGATTTGATACATTTAATTTAGACTTCGCATTATACGTGTTCTGGGTCTGCCCAGAGGGGATGGGAAGAATCTTGGGGTTCTCACTTCAGAACTTTGCCCTATAAACCTTGAAAGTTGACCTCTTTCAGGAACTTTAAGACTTGTGTTTAAGAGGCCACCCTTCTGTGTGTAGTCCATTTATTTTATTTATCTCCTTTATAAAAAGATTGTTTATGGCTTACATTTTATTCTACTGATATTTGTCATTTACCAGGCACAAATACAAAACGTTAAAGTCAATTAGGCTAGCAACATTTATTTTTTGGTTTACCCGTTTATAAAACTTTTTGGAAAGAGAGAGCATAGTGATTAAATGAAAAGGTGTTGTTTTTTTTTTTTAAGATTTTATTTATTTTTTGGAGAGTGGGGAAGGAGGGAGAAAGATAGGGAGAGAAATATTGATGTATGCGAGAAGCAGCACGCCCCCAGCCAGGAACGTGGCCCATAACCCAGGTACGTGCCCTAACCAGCAATCGAACCAGTGACTTTGCTGTTTGCAGGATGACACCAACCCACTGAGCCACACCAGTACTCCAGTGAGGGATGAATGCATAAGCTTTAAAAATTGCCAATAAACAGTAGTACAGTGGTTCTTCAAAAAATTAAAAATATATTTACTATTATCCAGCAATCTCACTTCTGGGTATATACCCAAAAGAATCGAAAGGGAGGTCCCAAAGAGATATTTGTGCACCCTCATTTATAGCAGCATTATGCACAATAGCCAAAAGGTTGAAGCAGCCCACGTGTCTATTGATGGGTGAATGGATAAACAAAATGTGCTGTGTATATACAATGGAATATTATTTAACCCTAAAAATAAAGAAAATTCTGACATGCTAAATGTTGATGAACCTTGAGGTTCACTTGGTAAGTGAAATACTCTGGTTACAAAAAAATAAATATTGTATGGTTCCCACTTAAGAGATACTTAGATTAGTAAAATTCATTGAGATGGAAAGTGGCATGGTGGTTGCCAGGGGCTAAGGAGAAAGGGGAATGGGGAGTTATTTAATGGGTATGGAGTTTCAGTTCTGCGAGATAGAAAGAGTTCTGGAGATTGGATGTACAACAAGGTGGTCACACTTAAAACTACTTCACCATAAACCTGAAAATAGTTAAGATGGTAAATTCTATGTTATGTGTATTTTACCACAATTTAAAAATATTTTTTAATTTCCTGTAAGTATGTTTTGGGTTATTGAGGTGTGAGTTAACCGAATTAATTTCACTTAATTAGAAATCATTTAGAGGCCTTGTTTATATTTCATGTACTGTAAACCCCATCAACTTTCTATTAACGATGAGATTTACTTTCATATGTAACCTCTCCTTCCAGGCTTTGTAAATTGGGCTTTTGATAATAATTTAATAACCAGAAGAAGGAATTTATGAAATGTTGATCATAGGTTGGGTAACACCCTCCCCAGTGGCATGAATATAATTATTATACTCTCATTGAGTATTTTTTAATATTCATAAGTACATTCTATTCATCATTCACTAGAAAGACGTTTGTTTTCATACCTAGAAAGAACCATTAGGAATCTACACCTAAGCTGTTACTTTTGTGCTCAGTTTATTTCAAGTATAGTTATTGTATTAGAAGCTAAGATTACTGTAGTTACTGCACTTAAAAGTATTACTATTAGATACAAATAAAGCCTCTGATCTGTGAATAACTGCATTTTAATGTAATGTTTTGTTGTTGTTGTTTTCAGGGTACAGAGAAAGCACTTCTGAAGCTCCATGAGTATTTCCCCGAAATGCAGGTTCTTGCGGTTAGTGGTAACTACTGTACCGACAAGAAACCTGCTGCTATAAATTGGATCGAGGGGAGAGGAAAGTCTGTTGTTTGTGAAGCTGTTATTCCGGCCAAGGTTGTCAGAGAAGTGAGTGACTGGATAAATATTTTATTGTATTAATCTTTAATTCGATTAAAAAATTGGAGAAAAGAGCATTAACATTTTAAGTGAAGTTTAATATAAGGGTGTATGTTTGCGTTAAAGATGACTGTTGGTCATGTCTCGCCCCCTGTCTGTCTGTGGCGTTCACAGGAGCAGACTTAACTGATGGGCTCTTTACTGAGGACAGGGCTGACACAGGGGCCGCACCTGAACTACCTTGTTTTCTGGAGGTACAGACAGATAGGAGTAACGCACCCCTGGATCTTCTGGGGGGGAATGTAAAGTGTGTGCACCTCTCTTTTCTAGGTGTTGAAGACTACTACAGAAGCTATGGTTGAGGTGAATATTAATAAGAACCTGGTGGGCTCTGCCATGGCCGGGAGCATCGGAGGTTACAACGCCCACGCAGCCAACATCGTCACTGCCATCTACATTGCCTGTGGCCAGGTGAGGGCCCCAGCCTCCACTTCTCTCTTCTGTTGTTCTAAGTAAGAGCAGTTTTACAGTTTTCCTTTTTTCCTTTCCCCAGGATGCAGCACAGAATGTTGGTAGTTCAAACTGTATCACTTTGATGGAAGCAAGTGGTCCCACCAATGAAGATCTGTATATCAGTTGCACCATGCCCTCTATAGAAATAGGAACTGTGGGTGGTGGGACCAACCTGCTCCCTCAGCAAGCCTGTCTGCAGGTATGAAGCGTCGGTGACCTCGAGCCTAGTTCTCTAGGGCTAGAGATCTGTTTCTGCCTGACACAGCATGTGACTCACCTCTGTATTTTAGCTGTCTTTTCATTCTTTTGTTTCCCATCAGCCTAGTCCAAGTCAGCACCTTCAGGCATATGCTTGGTAAATTGAGCAAGTAGGTTATGAATGCAGAGGAATGGTCATGTACTCTAAGTGCTGCCAGCTAGGCAGTGGGTGTGTGTTAACTATGTGTGGTGCATACAGTACATCAGTACTGGCCATCAAATCCTGGGAAATTAAGGGGAGTCTAGCTCTATTCTAATGTCATGTAGTTGCCCTCACTTTTGTTGACTTGAGTAGGAAATGGCTGCCATGACTTTAAGGGTCAATCCTGCTGTGTCTCCCTCTGGCTGCAGATGCTTGGTGTCCAAGGAGCGTGCAAAGACAATCCTGGGGAGAACGCCCGGCAGCTCGCCAGAATTGTGTGTGGTACGGTGATGGCTGGGGAATTGTCACTGATGGCAGCGTTGGCAGCAGGACATCTTGTCAAAAGTCACATGATTCACAACAGGTAAGACGGAACGATTTATTTAGCATGTTGTTTGTTCTTAAAATAGGCAGTATAAAAACTAGTGTTCACATACAATAGCCCCAATTAAAATTCTGCAGTACTGATATTTTGTATATCTCACTGTCTTTTTTTCCCACAGGTCAAAGATAAATTTACAAGACCTCCAAGGAACTTGCACCAAGCAGGCCGCTTGAATAGCCTGACAGTTCTGAACTGAAATACGGGTGTTGTGTTCTAAAGGACTAACATAAAATCTGTGAATTAAAAAGCTCAAGGCTGTGTCTTGTTGAGGATGAATAGATGTGATCAGTGAGACGACTGCGTGGTGTTTGGCTCTTTCAGGAGGGTCTGAGGGCCTTCTCTCCATGCAGGTTCCTCAGCTCTGAAGACAGCTTAGTGCGTTAGGTGCTGTGCTCTTTGGAAAGATCTCAACATGGCTATTACGCTTTCAAGCGTCACAGATGGTAACCGACAGCTCACCTCTGAAAGAGAAAACACGTGGGGGAAAAAGTGTTTTCTTTTGATGAAATTCATGGAGTTCATGGTGATCAGTACGAGTTGACCCTTCTCCCACACCCCCACCACCCTGGGTTGAAAATGGATTTTTAAATTATACTGTAGCTGACAAAACTGATTTCTTAGTAATTTATTAAGCCTCGATTGTAGAACTTTAAGAAATATGTTTATTTTTTGTAAACTGATACTTTATTTGGTGCTGGTCTTTTTTGGGGTAGCCAATGTGATTCTTCAGAAGAGAACCTTTCTTCAAGCGAAGAATTCCTCTTATTACCAACCACAGAAGAATGTGCTGTGCAGTGCAGAATAGTTCTCTATCAGGAAAACAAATCACTACATTTATCTCTGCAGGCTGTTTGTTCAGAGAGGCCTCTTGTCGAAATGTAAATGTATGTCTAGATTGGCTATAACATATCTTTCAGTATAAGGCTTTAAGAAACAGAGTTTGTGTTCTTTATTAAAGATACCAGAGCTCTTAATACTGCTTAGACCAGCAATTTTCAACCTTTTTCATCTTATGGCATGTATAAACTGATTACTAAAATTCTGCTGTACACCAAAAAATATATTTTTTGCCGATCTGACAAAAAAACAGGTATAACTTTGAATCACTCACTCCGGATGGCTGTTGTTGTGTTGGCTGTTGCCATTTTTTCATTTGACTCTCTAAGGGAAAAGAGGTCAGTATCCCTGACTCAATAGGTACTGCATGCTTTAAAAATTCTTGTGGCACACCAGTTGAAAATCGCTGGCTTAGACAAAGGTGACTCTGTTTCTCAAGAACACACAAGTCTGTGACCCCTCTCGGAATTCAGAGGATGGAAAATTAGGTTTGACAGAAAAATGCCATTTCTCTAAATCAACTTTAATTTCTTAAATGACGCTTAATTTAGCTGAAAAATCTAGACAGTTTTTTGTAAAGGACTGTATCAAATCTGTATATGTTGTAAGCTTCTGACAATTTATTGAAAGTGTTCAAGGAATAAATAAAAATCAAATTGTATACTGATAAAGACACTCTGTGCTTAGACCAGAGATGATAGTGTTCTTTAGTGCTGGGCAGGAAGCCCTGGCTCGCTGGAGGAGCCCAGTGAAAGGGTGTGTCGGGGTGAGCGCCAGTGAAGGCGCCGTGTGAATGGCCCTGAGGAGTGTGCCTTGTTCCTGTGGCCAGGAGGCTGGTGACTGAGACCCGCACATACGGCTCTTTGGTGGATCCATAGAAGCACTCAGCTTTCTCAGGGGGTCGGTGGAGTTGTTGGATCTTCATTTTTTTTAATGTACAAGTTTTGTATAAGTAATAAAAGAAGTTCTTATTTTGTATTACATCTGATGCTTCAACTGTTGGTCTTGGAGAGCCGATGGCTCGTGTGGAAGATGGACTCTGGAGAACATTCCAGCAGTGGCTGTCACGGCAGCATGAGCGCCTCCGAGTGGCCACGCCTGCGGTCTCATGGTGGAAGCTGTCTGTAAACTTGAACTTGCTTCTGTTGTGACTTTTCAGCCAGTGACTTCTTACTTACCTGAACTTTCCAGAGAAGTGGCAGTGGAAAACATGTTGAGTCTTCGTTTTGGTGAATAACCAATATCATCTTGCTAAATTAATGTTTTGTACAATTACTAAATTGTATACATTTTGTTATACTTTTTTCCAGTTCCAGTAAATTATGAGAAGTTAATACTTGTAAGTGTAAACAGTAACATTTTTTTTTTAATTAAACCTGCACCCTGGAAGCTTATAAAATACAGCTGGGTGGTAAGCAGTGATTCCCGCCAGGGGTCGCATGGCCAGTTACTGTTCTCCATTATATTCTCCAACTGCAGCATTGATGACAGGATGGTATTGCATGTGCATTAAAACTTCCTTATAGAGAGTTTGATCAGTTCAGATTTATCATCTCAACTACTTGTGGATGTTGGGGTGGTGAGCAAGAGGTTGTAAAGATTGGGCAGCCACAACCAAATACCATTGCAGGTGTGCCTTTAAGCCGTATGAGCTGAATCGGAGAGTACAGCATTGGCCTATTTAAATGCTGACTCCCGTGTATTTGCGATTATTGACTATACTTATGTATTAGAGGCGAAAAGATACATGTGAGCCTCTAAGGACAAAGGCCAAGATAACAAAATCTGATTTTTTTCCTTCCCAAATGACACAAGCACTTCTATGTCCCCTCCAGCACCGGGCAAGTTGGAAAGGCAGCAGTGAAGGATTTTCATCCCCTTTTCAGCTTGGGTGCTTTCACGAACAGTGAGGTGAATGTGGAGGACAGGCCTTTTCCTCATCTTTAGGAGGAAACATCTCATGTTGTTGAAGAGTCTGAGCTCGAGAGGATGCAGAGCAGCAAAACAGTACAAAACCACTGTATATGGGAGGTGAAATGAACAGTAAATTAACTATAGAAAAATATTTTCAAGACCTGTCTATCCAGGCCAAGACTAATTTATTAGTAATAAACTTTGTGAAGTTAGCAAAGATAATTAATGGGTAACCTCTACAGTGGAAACCAGGAGAAGATGGCAAACGATTTAATACACAGTTACGCAGCCAATTCCTCCTTTGTAGTGGAACATGCTTCCTACGTGCCCTCTCCCTCCTGAACCATTCTGAGAGCTGCCGGGGCAGGTGTGGGCACTCCTGTGTCAGGATCCCAGTTCCTCCCCAGGGCCAATGGAAGAGGGCCTTGTGCTGACAGCTGGAGTTAGGTAGAACACAAAAGAATACGTTAATTCAGGGCTTCTCCAACTTGAGTGTGCAACACACTCAGATTTTTCAAAAGAGATTGCTAGGCCATCCCCAGGGTTCCTGCTTCCCTCGGTCTGGGCTGCAGCCAGGACTTGGGCAGTTCCAGTGGTGCTGCTGCAGCTCCAACCTTTGTGGGTTTCAGTGTTAGGTGCCTGCTTTCCATGGATGGTATAAGAAATTGTGTTTTTTCAGAAACACAGTTGGAAGACATCATGGAGAGATCAAATGTTAATAAGAATTACAGTTATTCCTAGAGAGACAGTAACAACTAGAAAGTATGTTACCTGATTTGGTGTAACATACACCAAAGGATGTATGTCTCCCTGAGCTCCACCTATGACCACCGCCCCCCACCCTGCCCCACCAAACACTAAAGGTCTTCTATCGTCAACAAATGCAATGAATACTCCAGGGAGACATCTAACCTGTGTTGACTGGAATTCCTTTGCCTTCCTGTCACTTGAAGTTTGAAATGGTAAACGTCTTGGCGGATGGGGTGTGGGTAGGGGATGGTTGGCGGGGGGGCAATTCTGCCTCCACTCTAAACTCAGCGGGGTTGTATGTCAGAAGTGTTGGACACAATAAAGCAAATCCAGAGTACTGTCAGTCCTAAGTGACGTGTGATGGGTGAGCCGTACTCCCAGCTCAGTCTCAGCCTGATGACCTCACAGCAGCCTCTACCTCTGCCCGTTTCACTGTCTGACTTGGGCTGTATGTAGCCTCAAAGAGCTAATGAAACCATCAAGTTTTGGTCCACTTTCTGCCTCAGTCTTTTCCGATCCAGGATATAACCTGTGAGAGCCCTACCTCATTCTTAAACCTTTACTGCTATTAATAGTAAAATATACTCAGATCTGTTCAGAGCAGCCTACTGACTTCTGGCTATGGCACCTTCAACAGGTCAGGGTGCTCACTCTGCACCCATGGGGAGCAGCCAAAGCTTATAGTTGGCTTGCTGGCAGAGCCTGGATCAGCGCAGAGCTCTTGGGGAAAGGGCCACCTTCAACCCAGGACAGTGCCTGCCCAGCCCAGCAGGGTCCAAGCCTTGAACACCCCATCAGAAAAACCTTTTGGACACACACCTCCAATAAATGTATTTCTTGATAGATTTTATTGACTTATGTACATTATCAAAAAAATGAGAATATAAAAATATATACAAATAAAAATTAGCTGTTTCTGTACTCCAGTGGTAGAGTTTGCCTGCATTTTCCTTCAGATCAAGGTCTCAAGACAGGAACTGTGTCTTTTCTGGTTAACTTAGTATATAGGACCTCAAATTTAAAGGCACTCAATGATGTTGAATGGCTAATAATAAATATAAGCAGGGTTTCTCCCAAAGAGAAGGTAATGGTCACTGAAAATGAGATGATGGCTGCGTTAAGGGAGCTGGAAATCCAGACCTGGGAGACCTCCAGTTGTCCACTTCATGTCCATTTTTCTCAGTTCCCTTATTTGTAAAATGAGGCAGTTGGATAGGTCACTACTTAGGCCTGTCTAGCTCTACATACTCTACGAAATGCTACATTTGTTCCCATGTATATACAGACTCATTCTATTATCCAAAGATGAGGCATTTTTCCAGTGGCTGTGATAAGGATCTCATGGTTACCCAGTTTAGGGAATAGCCCGGTGCCGCCCACACAGCACTGAGCACTGAGGGGTTCTCAGCAGAGTTGCTTAGCCAGTCATCTCCCTTTTCACCATGTCTCCTCAGGAACTGCACAGCTACTTCACTCTTTGCAGCCTGGACCCTGTGGGCTGTTGCAGCATTTGCTTTACAAATCTTTGCACATTTTGCTAGGAGATTCAGACCTCTATAAAGAAGAAGTCTTACCCAGGGGTGTCAAACCTGCGGCCTGTGGGTCCCATGCAGCCCAACACAAAATTGTAAATTTACTTAAAGCATTGAGATTTTTTGTGTGTGTGATTATGTGTCGTAATGTATTTAATATGTCTTCTTCCAGTGAGGAGCAGAGATGCCAAAAGGCTGGATACCCCTGCCAGGGGAATAGAAGATAATGTCCCTCTTCCTGGTTCTCACCCTTTTGAACTTACCATTCCTGGACAGCTCTACCCTCTTCCATTTACTCCTGTTGTCAAATAGGTAACTTTTTGGGGAAGTTAAAAATCTTCTGCCCCTCTCAACTCCAAGCCAACAGACTTAGTTGGGGTTCAAAACCATAAATGCATGCATCCTTGTCATTATTCCCATCTCTCATTTTCATACCTCTAGCATTCAGAAGGCAGTACCTAACACATACCTGTGGTGGACTGAATCCTTATCATCGCATAGTGCTCTAGGGTTTTCAAAGCATTTTAAATACATTATCTCACTCTTCTCCAGACATCCCTATGATGTCACCATGGTAGAGGATTGTGTATTACTTTATAGCAGAGATTTAGAGACATTGAAATGATTTGGCAATTTTTGAAACAGAGGCGTGGCTACATGGAACAGACTGAAAGCTGTCAGAGGGGACATGGGAAGGGGGGACTGGAGGAAAGAAGGGGAAGGGAGCAAAGGGCATGTGTGTATAACCCACAGGCACAGACAACAGTGTGGAAATGGTCAGAGGGAAGGGGAGCAGGAGCTGGGAGGAGGGGGGCAGGATATGGAGACATCGGTGAAATGTCAATAAAAATTAAAAAAAGATTAACAAAATAAAAAGAAATGACTTGGCAAGATCAAAGCTATTCAAGTGAGCGAGCCAAAAAAACTGGTCCTTCAGACTCTAAGTCTCATTTCCTTTTGGTATGTCCAGTACGTGGTACATGGAGACAAATACTTAGAAATAACAGGTCTACCAGATGTTAGGAATGTAAAGTCTGTCACAAACCATAAAATTGTAGTTTTAGATTAAATTGAATAATCAGTAGAGTAGAACTTACCAATTAATTTCATGCTATTCGCACAGAAATGGGCAAAGTTGTTAAAACACAGCAACTCCTTTCCTATTAGAGAACACAGCTGACAGTCAAGTATAAAGAAAGAAAATTTTGTACATCTCATTCTGTGGCTTAGTCTGTAGTTCACTGTACCCCTATTCAAAGTTCCTGACCTCAAAGCCTATTTCCTCATTGTTTAGATACATTTCTAAAAAGCTTGGTTATGACAAAAATAACGCAGACCAGATGGTCTGTTTATTGTTGTATTCCCAATCCTGGAACGCTGCATGACAGGCAAGTAGTAGGTGCTCAGTAGGTACATGCTCTGGGAGTTGTTCTGAGTGCTGTCTGCCCACATGCTGAAGTAGTTTGGCTGTGCACAGCTCAATTTAGCCGCTACACTGATTCCCTACTGCTGAACCCAGGTACTGCTTAGCCTCTCAGGGCCAAAGGGCAGTAGAAAATAACCACAACACACTGACCGGTTGTGGATCCAAAACTTGTCTTCATAACCAAATTTAGTGGTCATTTTGCAGCAGGCAGCTCACAAAACAGTGGGTGCTGGCTCTGTCGGTGCTTGTTGATGGGTTGAAAAACCCAAGGTAAAATATCCTTCTTGGGCTAAATACCCTTCTTGTGGTACTTACTGTTTTATGACTGAGTTCTATTTCATCACTCTAATCTAGGAGACAGAGGGCAGTTAAGGAATCGAAGAATGGTCCAATTTAACCTTTAAGATACAGTTTATGTATCTGGTGGGATTTTAGGACACAGGTATTTGGGATTTTGTGAAGCCGCTGTTGACATATGTAATGTGAAGACCCACGCCTCTAAAGTGCTCCAAGCATGTCTGCTTTTTAGCCTATCAAACAATATATTCTACATACTAAGTACACGAGGCATTAAAAAGTGGCAGTCTAACAGACTTTAGACTTCGTAGGCCTGGAGCCCAGGCCCGTCTCCTCACCACCACCTCCCCGACCCTCCTATTACTCACCTGCCCCTGCCCAGCCCCAGCAGAACAGTTAGGTAAAATGCAGGCTGAGTGTGTTACAGACAC